GGCTGCCTCGTTTTTTTCCTGCTTTTTAGGTGTTCGGCAGTGGGAGCCCCCACGAGCTAATTTTCGTCACGGAGAACACTATGGCCTCCTTCCCTGCGTCGCAGGGGAGGGGGCATCACTTCGGCCCCTTTCAAGGGCTGGGGCTGGCAGGGCACCCCAAGGTCCAGCCCAGGGCCCCAGCCCCGCCAGGGGTCACCAGCAGCGCCCCCACACTCGCCCAGAGGGGCTCTTCCAGCTCCCTGCTGACCCTGCACTGCAGTGACAAGCTTTGCCTGGTGCTGGCCCAATTGCATCCACCCCACCGCTGGTCGGGACGATCGCCACTCCCGTGCCACATGCAGCCCCGCCACAGCCTCACTGCTGCCAGCTGTCACAGCAGCTGCACAGGGGAACAAGTATGAGTCCCCTGCTTCAGGCCATTCCTCTTGCTGTACCCTACGCAAGGGTCCCATTTTTTCCCCTACACACTGAGGCAGAGGTTGCTCAGCTGGGATTATTTCCCCCAAATAGGCTTATTTGCTAATTTTATTCAGGACTTGTGAGGCACTGCCTGCCCCCCACCCTAAAAGGCTCCCTCAGTAAACATTCTTATCTAGGACCTGCCCCATGAGACCCTCCTGGGCCTGGTGGGTGGAAGAAGGAGCCCTGGCACCCCTGCTGATCTGAGGCCAGCCCAGGCACCTTCTCTCTGCCCAAGAAAATTTAATGCAGTTTTATTATGGCTACAACATTTACACATCACAGGCTGTACAGAAAACACTGGAGGGGAGAGCCTCAGCACAGACCCAGAACGCAAGGCTGGGGTGGGGCATGTGCTGCCCAGCCCAGAGCAGAAAGTAGACAGCATGGGGGGAAAGAAGAGCACACCAGCAAGCTCTGGGAAGGTGGCATCCAGCAGGCTGGGGTTCCAGGAGCTGAAGGAGAAGATAACGGAGGCGTCAGTACTTGGGACGTTTCACCTCAACCCTGGAAGAGACAGAAGGGCACGATGGTGGTGAGGATGCAGGGCAGACAGCTCTGTCCCCCTCCCATCCAGAGCTCAGCACTGAGGTCCACAGTTCCACCCCACAGAACAGTGGCGGGGTAACAGCTCCTCAGGGCACCCAGCGAGATAGGGCAGAACTGTCTGGTCAAGGAAGAGCCCAGCCCCAACATGGCCCTGGGGTCTGCTCAGCACCCGCCCATAGCCCAGGGGAGAGGTGCCCTGCAGGCTCTGCTGAGCTGAGCAGGGCAGAAGCACTGTGAAGGGACAAAATGTTTTCCACTCTCCTTCCAGACCCACTGCTGAGAGCCAGCAGGGAGGTCTCTGCCCCCTGCAGCCCCTGGGTGAGGTGGCAGGAGACAGCCAGGCCCCAGCACTGCCCTGCAGCCGAGCCCAGAGCAGAGACAACTTTACTAACCCATCAGCCTCCAACTTTTTCCTCTTCTCAATGATCTGCAGAGAAAGCAAAAAGTCCCGTTACCCTCAGGGTAGCTGGCTGCCCACAACCACAGCAGAGGGGTTGTAGGGTGCAAGATACACCCGGGGAGAGCTGTAGCCAGGCCAGAGCAAGCTGAGGTGAGCTAAAGTTGTCCACAAGCTGCCCAAAGTCCGGAGAAGCTTGGCCTGTTCCGCCTTTGCTCCATTTGGCCACCAAAGACCATTTGTTCTCACCTTCCCCATGCCCACCCCATACCGTTGGGGTGCTCATGGCCAGCTCACCCTGCCAGGAGAACCCCCAGCTCTGTGCCAGTTAGAAAACAGGAAACCGCTAAACATGCCTTGTCCCCTCCAAGTCCCTTTGGATGGCTCTGAGCTGCCAGTTTTGGACATGTTCATCTGCTGTAGAGGCTGGAGCAAAAAGCCCCCGATCAGGACTGCTTCCAGGGCAACGGCTCTAAATGAAGCTCCAAATGCAGGTCCAAATGCCTCTGCAGTCCTGAAGCCCCACATAGTTGGCTGATGCTCTTGCAAGGAGCAAATCCAGCTTTTAGAGTCAGCCCTGCCACACACGCACACCGGCAGTGTCTGGCTGCCAGGACATGGGCTGGACCAAAGAGCCATGACTCGGACAGCAAGGGCAGGACTAGGTGGGAGCTCTCCTGGGCTATGCTGGCAGCTCACAGCCTAAACAGATGATACCCCAGCACCGGGCACTCACCGCACTGATCTTCTTCCACTGCCGATCCAGCTCTGCCTTGTCATTTGTCTCCTTGAAGCGACGGGTTTTGCGTCCCTCAGACATCTTGATCCCATACTGGAAGGCTGCCCTGGGGAAGGAGCAAGACAGAGCTCAGGGCCTGCAGGGGATCCACAGCCTGCCAGGGGAACGGACACCAGGGAACCTCTTGCTTTAAAGCTCCCCCAGGACCCAGGTTTGGCCAGCATGGCCATCCCACCCAGAATCCTTGATCAGCCCCCTTCGCAAGGGCTGCACTCACTTGGGCAGAGCCTCTTTGTTGTTCATATATTCGCTGTACTCCTCCTGGGTGTCGAAATCCCAGCGGCCCAGAGGTCCTTTCTTGTTACCCTGCGGCAAAAGAACAGCTCAGAGCAGCTCCTTAGTTGATGCTGACCAGGGCTTCTCATGCAGCCCCACATGCCCAGGCAAGATCTCAATCTCCCACTGGCCCCTGTTCAATGGGTTTGTGCACATAGTCTGGCCTTGGCTCTGAGATCCCCTCCCCAGGAAGCCCCAGACAGGAGATTCTGTGGAAAAGGGAGTTGAGACGGACTAGCACACGTACCCAGCACCTCTTGGTCAAGTGCAGACAGTTGCATGTTTGCTCCCTGGGACAACAGATCCCACCCAGACACAGGCATACAGCAGATCAGTAAACCCCAAAACACATTCAACACCCAGCTCCAGGGCATTCAACCCCTCTGCACAACCCTGCTTCTCTCCAGTGGGATCCTCTCAGCCTGCAATGATGCCTAGTTCACTGGCTGGTCCTAAAAAGCTGGTGATGGCATACCTGATCCATTTTGCTGTAGTCCACCTCTTCATCACTGTCCACAGCCATATCATCCATTCTGTAAAGAAAAGAAAAGCAAGGAAAGGGTTCAGAGTGGGTCCATGGGGACATGGATTAGGACCTTGGAGCCAGGCTGGTGGGAGCTATCTCTTGTGGCCTCAGACAGGACACACTCAGTTCCTGGACCAGGGAGAAGTTCCTCCAATTGCAATCCCTGTGGGTGAGCTGTACCACAAGGGCATCCAAGATTGCAAATGCTCCTAAGATGACTCTGCAGGCTGAAAGCTGTTCCTCTTCTGCCGAGGGACTGCTTTGCAGCCAGAGGTCAATGAGCACATGAACTACCAGGGAACCTGTCAGACTCCCAGCCACCTCAGCCCCTCCCTGGCACTGAGGGGCAGCAGATTCCAGGTAGCCATTTATAGCAGAGACCAGCTAAGAAAAGGCCAGGTCTGCCAGAACCAAGGACTCGGGGAGCATTTTGACAGTAGGTTGCAACCCCAGACAAAGCCAGGCCCACTCTTCCCAACAAGCAGTGGGGCTGATACTCAAATTCTTGCTGCCAGACAACAGCAGCCCCTCGGCACACCCTGCTCCCAACCCGCACTTCTTGCTGCTTCCTTACGTAGCAGGGTAGCACTCGGCGTAGCTGTTTGACATGCCAAAGAAGTCCCCCAGCTGCTTCTTATCTTCTGGCTTCTTCAATGTGACAGCGGTCAAAGAAAGCACCACCACACAGCCTTACAGCTAAGGGCTGAGCACAGCCAGCCAAAGAGCCATCTCCTGCCCTAATGCAACCGAATCGGAGGCTGCAGAGCTTATATTTGGCATATGAGCAGCAAGGTTTGGATGGCATTTCTCTGCTACAGGAGGAAGAGCCCTCCCAAATGAGGAAGGACAGCCACACAGTCATGCTTGGGCAAGGCCTGCCTGCAAGGGAAGCTCAGCCCTGCAGTCGGCCAGGATGGCACAGACAGTAAAGGATATGACTCTGCTCCTTCCCAGCCAGCAGCTCCAGCAAACTTCTCATTGATGGACTTGATGAGCTCCTTGGCTGAGCCGGGTCCTGGGGTAGAGAGAGCAGCAGGCTGAGTTTTGGGGGAGGAACAGCTCACCACAATACACATGGGGTGGGCAGAGCCCCCTTCTGCCTAACTAAACAGGCAGAAGGACAGGCTGCATATCAAGACAAGAGGAGGAGCCAGGAGAACACCAAGGAGCAGCAAACCAGTTCAAGCACAGACAGGGGCAGGCTGATCCTAGGAGACTCCAAATCCTCCTCAGCTTACAACCAGCATAAGGTTGTTTGAGCTGCTCTGCAGCCAGGGAAGGATCTGCACACACACTCAACCCAGGCTGGCATGCAGCAGCCTGTAAACACAAGATTCTTCATCCCAAAACCCTCACAGTAGGCAATTCCCTCCTTCACAGCAGTCTCTGGGAGAATAGGGAGCTCACGCAGGCCAGCGAGCCAAGCAGTTCTGAAATCTGCAATCCCGTACAGCCTCGCTCAAACGTCCAGCCTCATTCAAATATCCACGCCACTGGACTCACCTTTCTCGATGTCTGTGGGCTGCAAAGAAGAGGAAGAGATACCATGTCACCCGGGGGGGCTGAAAGAAGGCAAGCGACAGTGCTGCATGACTTGCAGCTCCACTTTAAGACTCTCCATGGCAAACACACAGTGCTGAACCAGAAAAGCTACTGTGCTAATCATGCTTTACTTGCTGAACGAGAGGACAAGTACCCAACCACCCACCACTCCCTGGCTGGAGAGACAGAGCTCAGCAAGATTTAAACACTGTCACATGTGGGAGCACAACCAGAGACAACCACAGTCACCGGGTGACCCCATCAACCCCAAAGCTGCGCTCCCCAAAGGGCAGAGATCAGGTGGGACAGTCCAAGCTTCACAAGCAGAGGCTCACCTCATCATCAGCCTTGGGCTTCTCAAAGTAGCTGTGCCTCTTCTTTTCCTCCTCCCGCTCACGGTCACGCTCCCTGTCCCTCTCCCGCTCCCGGTCCCTGTCACGCTCCCGGTCCCTGTCACGCTCCCGGTCCCTGTCACGCTCTCTCTCACGGTACCTCTCCCGCTCCTTCTCCCGTGGCATCTTTGCAGTGGAGGGTACATAATCGCCAATGTCTTCAAAGATGCTAGAAGTGGAAAAGAGCCTGCAGTTATGGGTACTGCAAGAGAAGAGGCCACAACCACCTCCCTTTGAACTGGAACCTAATAAAGGAGCACACAGCACCAACACCAAGAGCTAAGGATGCCCACTAGAACTGGCTTCTACATCTGTCAGAAGTATTGCTGCATTTCTGCTCTCTGTTGCTGCCTGGACTTGCTTCGTGTGGTCCAGGACAACAGAGAGCCCTTGCCTGCCTCAAACCTGAAATAAAAACCAGAGCTTGCCTCCAGCCTTGTCCTACAAACCGCAGGTCCAAAGACGCAGCTTGCTCCAGAAGCATTAAACCCAAGCCCTCTCTGAATGTGATGGGCCAAAAAGACATTCCTTAAGGCAGAGAGCTGTGACCCCACAGCCTATGGGCAGGGAGGCACTTACTTCATATCAGCTTCAGGGGGCTTCTTCTCATCCAGCTTCCCTGCAAGGACACAACAGCAGTGAGAAGCACATCATCCACTCCGCCACCTGCACTGTTTCCCTGTCTGCAATTAGGTTTCCAAGCCCCAAGAGTGGCAGGCCTGGAAGATGTCCTGACTTCGTCTTTGGTTACCACATCACATTTAGCCCCCTCAGGAAGCCATTTTGTCCCTCCCCAACAGAGGACATTTCCCCAAGGAACTGGATCTTAACCAGGAAGAGTAGAGCAGCATGAGGCGCCCTTGCAGCTATAATTTCTCAGCAGCCAGTCCGCTGTGGTCCTGCCACAGAACAGCCTGCCTTCAGGATGCTGTGTTTGGGGAGCTATAGGAAATTGCTGTCCTCTAAGCCCACTGTCTCATGGCACAGGAGAATGCAGCAAACCAAAACAAACACATCTCAATGCTTGAAGCACATCCCAAGTCCTACTACTTGGTTCCCTTCAACTCCTACCTTTGTCTTTCTTCTTGAGTTTCTTGTTGCGGGTCCCTTGCCTGAGATAGGAGAGGATCTGCGTCAGTTTGCTGATGACAATGTCATTGGTGGTCAGTGTGGTCTGTGCCTGAAAGAGAAATTCCCGAGGAAGCGTCTGACTCCCTTGACAGGGAGCCCCTCCTGGCAAGACCTGTTTTGGCCAGTTCAGACCAATGTGGTCAAGCAACCTGGATGCTAGCTGGATACCTCCATGGTGGGGCAGTCAGCCTTGCTCCGGATCAGTGTGGTTGGGATATCGGTGTCGGCATATTCATCGTCCAGATCTACAACGTAGGCCATTCTCCCTGGTAGGAACAGCTCGTTCCGCTCGTAGGCCTTGTTCTTGAACAGAATGCGGTAGATATTACGACCTGGAGGGG